TTCTCTTCTCTTCTCTTCTCTTCTCTTCTCTTCTCTTCTCTTCTCTTCTCTTCTCTTCTCTTCTCTTCTCTTCTCCTCTCTTCTCTTCTCCCTGCCTCTCCCCTCCCCTCCCCTCTCCTCTCCTCCTCTCCTCCTCGCACACCAGCCCTGCACGGCTCTGCTCCCCAAAGGCAGACATCTGGCCCTGCAGATCTCCCCAGTCAAGGCTCAGGAACCTGTTGCGAGTGTTCAAGAAAAGAGCTGGCGGTACCTGGGATCGTCTTGGCCACAGCCAGGATCTCCTGAGCTCTCCTGAGGATGGCACGCTGCAGGCCGGCCTCCGTCACGCCAATCTGCGGTGCGAGAGGAGGGCTGTCAGCTCTCAGAGGGGAAGGAGGAGACATGTCCCCGGGGGACACCGCGAACTCTCGGGCTGTGCTGGCAAGCCCCAGCCGTACCAAGGGAAGCACCTCCATCAGGTGTCACCCAGAGAAGGGTATTCCCCCGGTTCCATTTCTGCTACAAAGAGCATCTGAGGGGTGTTGGAAGACAGAGCCAAGCCACAGCTCACCCTGCACGTGCTCTGGCAGAGCTCTTGCTCACGGGGACGGGGCACGGAGCAGCAGTGGCACCTCTCCCTGCTGGGAGGTCACAGGCCAGGAGCACCAACGCTCCCTCCTGCCAGAGCTGCTGCGGGCACAGCCACCAGCACGGCCGGGCTCGGAGCAGGGGCACGGTCTGCGTATCTGCTGTCTCGTACCTTTTCCAGGTCACTGGCAGTCATGGTGCTGAGCGCTTGCAGGGATACTCGATGGTGTGCAAAGACTGGCACGTACTGTTCAGCGGACAGCTCGATCAGAAGGTTCACCAGCTGCCGCTCCAAGCCCTCCTCCTGCAAAACACAAGGCGAGCTCCCAGACTTCGCTCTCGAGAAAAAAGCACGAGGACAGGCGGCAGCGCGGCCAGGCAGTGCGCTCCTCCCTGCCCTCAGCCCTGCTCCAAGCATTCCGCATCCCCGAAGGCACTGCAGCTTGGAAGCCCGACACGAGCTCCTGGAGGAAGGCAAGTTATGAGCACAATTCAAAATGCGGTGGTAAAAATGAAATATAAACCTTGTGGCAGCCAATGTCTGCAACAGCACCTGCTTTGCGGACTCGAGCTGATGCGCAGCACGGCAGAGCTCGGATCCATCCGGGTATCCTAACAGCACAGCCCCCGGCTCAGCGCGTTCGGGCGGACGCTGAACAGAGCTGCTGTGTTCGGGTGGGTTTGCAGGGGAGTTCGGGGAGCCAAGCAGAGCTGTTCGGGGGTTTAGCTGGAACAAAAAGCCCTGCTGGGAAGGTGCTCAGGGTCACCTGCTCCGGGAAAGCAGCGTGACAGTGGGGTGGCAGCTCCAGCCGGCAGCCGTACAGTGAGGGGGGTGAAACCCTGGCGCAGGTTGCCCAGAGAGGCAGCGGAGGCCCCATCCCTGGAAACGTTCCAGGCCAGGCTGGACGGGGCTCTGAGCAGCCTGGTCTGGCTGAAGATGTCCCTGCTCACTGCAGGGGGCTGGGCTAGATGGCCTCTAAAGGACTCTTCCAACCCAAACTATTCTATGATTCTACAATTCTGTGGTCTGTCCCAGCGTGTCAGCCTGCACGAGGGGTCTGTGCCCTGCTCCCCACCTCCACTGAACCTGTGGGTCCAGGCAGGGCTGTCCCCGCTCCCCCCCCGGCTCTGCAGAGCAGAGCGCAGCTACGGCGATGGCATTAACTGCAGCAGCGAACTGGAG